GGAGCTATGCACAAGCGTTTGAAAAACATGAGATTTCAAATAGAGCAGAGGTTGGTAAATGGAAAGAAGCTTTATCCATGGCTGCCAACTTATCTGGATGGGATCTCGAGGACATGGCAAATGGGTAAATTTTTTCTTTACTRTAATGATTTAYATCTCTARTCAAATTAACAAGGGGYCRTATCATTTGAATTTCATTAAGWAGYTGYTTTTCTCCCAAACCAATTCATCTAGTAACTTTATTAGAACTAATTCTATAYATTTGGGGTTCTTTCTGGTCAACAGGTTTGAGTCCAAATTCATTGATAGCATCTCCAAAGAAATCCTAAAAGCATTATCTCATGAACCTTTGCATGTCGGCCAGAACCTTGTAGGGTTGGATGCACGCATAAAGAAAATGAACTTGTTACGATTTGTTGGGTCAGATAAGGTACACATGATAGGGATATGTGGTATTAGTGGAATAGGAAAGACAACCCTTGCCAAAGCTATTTATAACTCGATGTGTATCCACTTTGAGGAAAGTAGCTTTTGTGAAAATGTCCAAGGAGTCGCTAAGCAACAAGGTCTAACTCAAGTCCAAATGCAACTTATTGGTAAAATCATGAAAGCAAGAGTTGTAGAGGTATCAAGTGTTAGTGAAGGAATTACGGTATTAAAGCAAAGGATGCCAATGAAGCCAATCCTACTTGTTCTAGATGATGTGGATCATCGCGATCAGTTAGAAGCACTAGCGGGTTCACCTGTTTGGTTTTTTCCAGGAAGTTTTATTATTTTCACCGGTAAAGACAAGCAATTGCTAAGGTCTCATAAAGTGGAAATCTATGACATGGAGTTTCTCGATGATTTTGAATCTCTTAAGCTCTTTAGTTTGTATGCTTTTCATGAAGAACATCCTACTAARGACTTTCAAGAACTTGCTCTGCAAGTTGTGCAGTATGTGAAAGGTCATCCCCTTGCTCTCAAGGTCTTGGGATCTTTTCTTTACGGAAAAACTGTGAAGGAGTGGAAAAGCGAATTGGACGGGCTCCAAGTTTATCCTAATGAAGAGATACAAGGGGTGCTTCGATTAAGTTTTGATGCGTTAAGCCTTCAACAAAAAAACATCTTCCTTGATATTGCTTCTTCATTCATTGGTGAAAATAAAGATGATGCAACAACTATACTAGATGGTTGTAATTATCATACAGATACAAATATCAAAGTTCTAGTTGACAAGTCATTACTTGTCGTTTCTCGCAATGATTTGCTTGAAATGCATGACTTGATCCAAAAGATGGCAAGGGAAATTGTACGCAAAGAGTCTAACACCCCTGGGAAGCGAAGCAGGTTGTGGATTTCATCGGAG